GTGACAGTCCTTGTTTTTAATCATCTATCTCTAAAAAAGAGAGTATTTCAAATATTGCATCATGTGATTTTATTCTTTTTTATATCAGACCTTTTCCATAGGATGCTAACAGATATTAAAAGTTAGAAAATAACCATCAATACGTAAAACATGCGTATATAGTTATTTGTGCTATATTATTAGGTTGGTAACATATGTTAGAAAACGAAATTATTTTTGCACCAACCTAATATAATGCTTATTACCAAAACAATAATGATACTGATTATTTTTTTAAACATTAAAGTATATTTATTCACATCTCCCTAATAGCTGTCGCGATTTGTAGATACGAGAAGGATTTCGCGTAAAGGTACGTTTCAAACATGTATGTGTGTGTATGTCAGGCGACTTGTAAAAAAGGTCTTATCCTTGGTATGTCATAAAGAAAAAAATACATCCCGAGATCTTTTTTTTAGTGTTATATCGCTTTAGAACGTAGGCGATTATGGCTCTCTACAGATCCATTATCTGGGAATTGCCAGGACGTCTTATACGGAAGAAATCAATTTACTGTCAAAAAGGCTGAGGGTGTGGGCCTGCTAATGCCACTGGATTCATGATTAAAAGAAAAACAGGAACAAGCTCATTCCGTTGTTCCGGTGTGCTGCCCAACGTATATCTGTGGCAGTGAACAAGAGACGCGGGATCAAGTCGACTGTCCGGGGATTTACAGCTCTCTGAACTTCCTTTCTTTCTGTTGCACTTCTTAGGTTTGGTTTGGTTTGGTTTGTTTTACGGCATATCGACCTCAATGGGTTATTTAATGCCGACAATTTTTTATTTTTTATTTCTGGTAATGTTTTTACTCAAAAATCTATTTCTGGGAATATTTTTCCTTGAAGAAATCTATAGCTGGTCATATTTTTTCCAAAGAATGTATAACTGTTTGTATTGCTGGTATTTTTTAAAAAAGTATTGCTGATAATAATTTTTCCTTAAAAAATTATTGCTAATAATAATTTTTTTATTACAAAGTATTTCTGGTATTAAAACCTATTTTTACACAAGTTTAAGTGTTAACTATTTGCCCATAGCTGGGACCCTAACAGGTGCTACCACCCCGGGTCAGGGTGGACCTGGGAACACCTGCAAATTAAGAGTTGGTTCCACGCGCCTCAAAACTGTCTGATCAGAGGCCTTGCTGCTGGACTTAGTTTATCGTCTTACCCAGGACGCGGATGTGGTTTATCATCTTACCCAGGAAGCGGATGTAGTTTATCGTCACACCCAGGACGCGGACGTAGTTTATCGTCATAACCAGGACGGGCATATCTTGGGAAAGGTAGGGGAATCGTTTCCTGCTGCTTTCTGTACAATTTCAAATGCAGAATTTTTGTTCCTTTCAGTCAGGCTACGGTCCAAGGCTAGAAAGCCCAGTCTACTCAACTATTTCACCCATAGCTCGTGGGGAGAGTAGATAGATCAAGACCTTTCTCAAGGGCTCCCTACAGATTCAGTTTCTTTATTATCTATGAATTACCATGGCATCTTTGTTAAAATAGTGCAATGGTTTCTCGTTGCCGTCTATATAGTTTGGAATCCAAATCTGTTTTTCTCCTTTCAGGATGTAGACGATCACGACTCTCCACAGATTCCTTTTCTTTATTATCTATGAATTACCATGATGTCTTGAAAAAGATAGTAGAATGGTTTTCCTTTGCTTTCTTCACCTTTTGGCATTCATGGTGTTCTCTTAAACTGGCTTCGATGACCCAATGTACAATGCTATTTACTCCATAGCGGGGGAAAGAGATAGATTTATGCCTCTCGTAAGATCATTCATGCTAAAGTGAATGCAATAGATTTAAAAAGAAACTTTAAAACTAAGTGTATGATTATATATTAAGTTCTCGTGCCACAACTTCACCACACGAGGTGCTGTTACGGCTTCCCTCGCAAATATATTTTTTATGGGATAGAAATACTGAACCCACGTCCAAACAGTTTGGAATTCACATTTATCTTTTCCTAGACTTATTACCATCCAAAGTGTTATGGTCCGGTTCCTTGTATCACGGTGATAGTTCAGAACGAAGAATACGGATATGGAATAACACAGATATATTACAAACAGGAATATATACACAGAGGTAGAAAAGTGTTAGTACGAACAATCAGGTTTAGTAGTAATTGTCTGAACGCGACTCTGTTTCGGACTGCCTCTGACTCAGCTGACTGACTCCTGGCGGACTTCACTCCAGACTTCAGACTAAACGGTATTTAGTGAACCCCCCCACGAGGGCATCATGTGGTACAAGGCCGGTTTAACGTGGGATCTCCCAGCCCGTGGACTCAGCCAAAAATATGCCCTTTGAACCCGTATAAACGGGTTCAGGGTCGGTTTACCTCCCCGAAAGAGACTCCGCCCTACGATGTAGCCTCGTTCGGGTTCCTCTCCGCACGAAGGCAGTGAGTTTAACCGATCAGCCGGTCGGCCGACTTCGGACTGAACAGTATTTAGTCATCCCACCACGAGGGCATCATGTGACACAAGGCCGGTTTAACGTGGGATCTCCGAGCCCGTGAGCTCGGCCAAAAATATGCCCTTTGAACCCGTATAAACGGGTTCAGGGTCGGTTTACCTCCCCGAAAGAGACTACGCCCTTCGGCGTAGCCTCGTTCGGGTTCCTCCCCGCCCGAAGGCAGAGAGTTCAACCACTCAGCCGGTCGCCCGACTTCGGACTGAACTCCCTGCTTCCTCTTGAGGCGCAGCATTTATTACGTATAGAATAGTCCATTATTTTATTATGGGTAAGATCTCATAACACAAAGCTAGAAAGCCCAGTCTAATTTTGCTATTATACTGATATGTAAGTGGAGGTGGGTGGATTCATACCTTTCCAATGGTATTTATGCAAAAGTGAACGCAACGGCCCCGGCTGGAATTTGAACACGCCCCCCCCAAAAAAAAACACTTTCCCGTTGTCGACTTACTAAACAGTTATTTTTAATGGATAACCGAATTTAGGTAGACGTTCTGATTTTATTTTTAAAAAATTTTAAACCTATTAAGAAAATCAAAGAAAAATTTGATTGGGCCTCCATCACAATATCTAGGGAGGAGTAGATGCGATAGGCAACAATGAACTACAGAAGAACTCAAAATTGATCTCTGCAATCAAGTATTGCAATAATATTTTAGCTTACCTTTTATATGTTCAACGATAATTCTTCTGCCTCCACCTAATTTAAAGATAATTTGATGTACGTAGGTCTTTACTTTGCGTAAAAAAAAAAAACAATTACTTTTTTTTCACGGGTAACTTTCACTGAATTTCGCAATTAATTTCGATTATTTCCAAATTTATTTCCAAGTTATAAAAATTGTTATCGTACGAAAAAATCTGCCGAAAATGTCACGTAAAAAATCACCGAAAACAATCACAATAATGAAAACTTGGGAATCCAAAATTTCAGGATTGCTGGTTTGGATCCGACCCGGAATGTTTTTAATTTGCTTACGGAGTCGGCCTGATTCAAAAATGGTTAGATATGTTAAGCTACAGATTCTAGGAAGAAAGTTGGAAACACGGAGAATTTTATTTTGAAACACTGTAATTTGAGAACAGTAATTTTTTCATTTGAACATGAAAAATATTGAAAGTTAGACAGTTGTGTGCCTTTAATTGTTTTTATCAGTAGAAGCCAAGATGGTGGATTCCAAAAACAATCGAAATAATGAAAAATTAGGAATCCAGAATTTGAGGATTGCTGGTCCGGATCAAGCACGGAATATTTTTAAATTTGCTCACGGAGTTGGCCTGATTCGAAAATGGTAGGATATAATGAGCTACGGCCTCTAGGGTAAAGTTGAAATAGTGTGACACAATGAAACAGTGACGTTTGCATTTATTATATATATCTTGTGTTGGGCACCTCGAGGTGTTGTAATGGTTAGCAAGCTTGTCTCACTAGAACAATTACGACTTAGTAGTGAGTTCGATTCTTATTGGATGCCCCTCCAAATTCGGCCTTGTGCCACATCTAAGCTAGGCTTGGAAAATCACTATATATTATGTGTGTGTGATCAAATATTGATCGGAATACGACGTAATGATAAGATAAAGTACAACTAGGAAACGTTTATCAATCTAAGATGTTTCACTTTTATTAAGGCTTCATCAGAGAATGAATTATGAAGATAAAAATTATTGTAATTTTACTTTTGTGTTGTTTTATTTTCATTGGTTAATCATGATTAGATCGAATGTAAATTCACAAGAAAAAAAAAACAAACAAAAAAACAATTGACCATAACTTTGATTTTACAAAAGATAGTAGTTTGGTAAAATGGCGTCTAAGAGTTTACAAAGCAGAGGTGTGTCCTTGACTTCCTCCTTGCGGGAAAATAAATCCACCCATGGATATTCATTGATGCTTGCTAAACATTTGCAGCGACTGGATGTGAGCCCAGTCAGGCGGTGGGTAATGTGCTGTCAGTCCAGACGTTTGCGATATACAAAACTAGTCAAGTTCTTGGCGGTCATTGTTCATAGCTGAATCAACCTTCGATTTTTTTTTAAACATCTTTCCTGTTTCGCTAACTAAAATAAATTAAAAAAAATAAACGTCAAATAGACTAAGCGGTATGTAGGTAAACAGATATGTCTGCGAAGTTCCTCCGTAAATACCTAACAAATCACGTAAGATCGAGCATCTGGTCGCTATGACGTCATTCATAAAAAAATGAGATTTGTGTTGATGGAGTTCTGCCTTCCTTCTTCCCGTTAACCTAATGCTAAGCCGAACCCTTTAGATAACCTTCACCCTGACTAGTGCCGATCAAATGGTATGAATCACTGAAACCTTCCAGCACTGCGAAGCATCCAGCCTGGAAACGCCACCTTTTTTAGCCATGGCAGCTGGAGTAATCAATTTAAAATACGTCGATATTTTATGAGACTCCCAGAAATCAGAGAGAGTAGATCTTTCGGCTGAATAGACTGGCCACTCATTAAATGATATGCATTTCTTTCTTTTCCTTTTTTTTTACCTTCTCATTCTTTCTTTCTTTCTTTCTTTCTTTCTTTCTTTCTTACCAGCATTTTATTTTTTTTTTTGTTATCTCCAGGCGTTTCTTTCTTACTTTCTTTATTTACCAGCGTTTTCTCTTGCTATGTTTTGTTATCAAACCGGCGTTTCTTTCTTTCTTTCTTTCTTTCTTTCTTTCTTTCTTTCTTTCTTTCTTTATGTTTGTACATTTCTTTTTCTTCTTCCGTCGTTTCTTTTCTTTCTTTCGCCATTCATTTGTTTGTTTGCTTCCTCTTACATTTGTTTTTCTTCTTTCTTTCTTTCTTTCTTTCTTTCTTTCTTTCTTTCTTTCTTTCTTTCTTTCTTTCTTTCCTACTGGCGTTTCCACCTTTTGCTACCTACAAACGTTCCTTTCTTTCTTTCTTTCTTTCTTTCTTTCTTTCTTTCTTTCTTTCCTACTGGCGTTTCCACCTTTTGCTACCTACAAACGTTCCTTTCTTTCTTTCTTTCTTTCTTTCTTTCTTACTGGCGTTTCCACCTTTTGCTACCTACAAACGTTCCTTTCTTTCTTTCTTTCTTTCTTTCTTTCTTTCTTTCTTACAAGCGTTTCCTTCTCTCTTTCTTTCAAAGCTGCAAACGTTTCTTTCTTTCTTTTTCTTACTTTCTTCCTTTACTACAAGTGTTTCTTTCTTTCAAAACTACAAACGTTTTTCTTTCTTTCTGTCTTTTTTCTTTCTATCTTTTCCTTCTTTCTTTACCTCAAGCGTTTCCTTCTCTCTTTCTTTCAAAACAACAAGCGTTTCTTTCTTTCTTTATTTCTTTCTTTTCTTTCTTTCTTTCTATCTTTCTTTCTTTCTTTCGCAGCACTTCTTTCTTTGTATCTTTCTTTCATTACTACCGGCGTTTCCACCTTTAATTTTGCTATCTACAAACGTTCCTTTCTCTCTCTCTTTCTTTCTTTTTTACAAACGTTCTCTTTCTTTCAAAACCTTTCTTTCTTTCTTTTTCTTTCTTTCTTCCTTTATTACATGCGTTTCTTTCTTTCTTTCAAAACTACAGAGGTTTTTTTTTGTTTTCCTGTCTTTTTCTTTCTTTCTATCTTTTTCTTTCTTTCTTTACTACAAACGTTTCTTTCTTTCTTTCTTTCAAAACAACAAGCGTTTCTTTCTTTCTTTCTTTCTTTCTTTCTTTCTTTCTTTCTTTCTTTCTTTCTTTCTTATGAATGTTTGTTGACCTCTTTTCAAATACTGCGTTTATCATAAGGCTCTTCATGGATGAAACAATATTCGCTTTCATCCCGACTCAGAAAAATAAACCCCAAGAAGATTTAATTTTCGAACTTTCTACATATTATTATTTGATCGGCTCGACTCTTACTGGGCCATGAAATTCAGAAGTGCCCCCACACTATTTTTTGATTATATAACATTTTGCGTAATAATTTAAAATTATTTTAAATCATTGTTTGTTCAGGTATGTAGTCTTCTCGCTGAATTTTTAAAATTGGAAAACACAACTTAATTCAACCCACACCATAAATGGTAATTATTCGTAACTTCATTAGCATGGCATTGATGCTGTATCAAATATTAAGTCCGACATAGGCACACACACACATACACACACATATGTGTGTGTATGTATATATATGGTGGACTCTCCTATCGTGAACGATAAATGAGGGTCAGTATAAATGGTGCCTTTCGTTTTACACTTATGCATACTAGCAGGGACTATTGTGGAGAAAATCAGGTAAGGGAAAGATATATTTCATTTGTGCTTTCTTACGTGAGATGCTAGCCCAGCCTTGCTGCGGGGGACAAAGACACACTGACAGATGAAATTTGTTAAAGCAGGATTTTGATGGCGTCTCTGCTTCAGAATCATTCATGCCACTATATAATAAATAAAACAAATACAATGCAGTATGTTAATTCTTAACGAAATATTCTTAATAAATTACATTTATTAAGAATATTTCGTTAAGAATTTACATACCGCATTGTATTTGTTTTATTTATTATATAGTGGCATGAATAATTCTAGATTCTAATCTATTTAAATGTAACATTTATCTGTTTTTACGATTTAGTCACACACACACATATATATATATATATATATATATATATATATATATATATATATATATATATATATATAATCGAATTCATCTCAAATGAATACAGAAAGCACTGGTCGGCCGTTTCGTCCTATATTTAGGACTCATCAGTAGTGTGCATCCACTACCGAAAATTGAAACCCCGGACAGTTACGATATGAAGCAAACGATATGGTAACGAATTAGACTCGATATTGCGCCGATCGTTCACATATTCCGGGGTGGAACTCATCCGAGTTTCCCTTATCCATAGGACTGCCTCCATGGGCCACGACTACTATCCCCAAGTCGCTCCATCCAAGCAAGGATATACAAATGATAGAAATTAAGGAGGATTTGAGAAAATTATAAGTAAGTAATTCATCTAATTCTAATTTCTCACCTCTTCGTCACCGAGGCCCGTTTGTACAGTTGGTATGACGTTTGACTCATATGCGTCCTTCTCAGATAAAGAGGAAATTCCGTCAGAAATTGTAATTTAGGAGAAATAAGGTTCCTATTATGGAATTATGGAATCGAATCTGCATCCCTGCGGCAAGAATCGAATCTGCATCCCTCTAGTAGGATGCGAATCTGCATCGGTCTAGCAAGATTCGAATCTGCATCCCCCTAGTAGGATTCGAATCTGCATCGGTCTAGCAGGAATCGAATCTGCATCCCCCTAGTAGGATTCGATCTGCATCGGTCTAAGGAATCGAATCTGCATCCCTCTAGGTCTGCATCCTCGCAGGAATCGAATCTGCATCCCTCTAGTAGGGATCGAATCTGCATCGGTCTAGCAGGAATCGAATCTGCATCCCTCTAGTAGGAATCTAATCTGCATCGGTCTAGAAGGAATCGAATATACATCCCTCTAGTAGGATTCGAATCTGCATCGGTCTAGCAGGAATCGAATCTGCATCCCTCTAGTAGGATGCGAATCTGCATCGGTCTAGCAGGAATCGAATCTCCATCCCTCTAGTAGGATGCGAATCTGCATCGGTCTAGCAGGAATCGAATCTGCATCCCTCTAGTAGGATTCGAATCTGCATCGGTCTAGCAGGAATCGAATCTGCATCCCTCTAGTAGGAACCGAATCTGCATCCTCGCGACAGGAATCGAATCTGCATCCCTCTAGTAGGGATCGAATCTGCATCGGTCTAGCAGGAATCGAATCTGCATCCCTCTAGTAGGAACCGAATCTGCATCGGTCTAGCAGGAATCGAATCTGCATCCCTCTCTAGTTCTAATCTGCATCGGTCTTCGAATCTGCATCCCTCTGCATCGGCCATCGGTCTAGCAGGAATCGAATCTGCATCCCTCTAGTAGGGATCGAATCTGCATCGGTCTAGCAGGAATCGAATCTGCATCCCTCTAGTAGGATGCGAATCTGCATCGGTCTAGCAGGAATCGAATCTGCATCCCTCTAGTAGGATTCGAATCTGCATCGGTCTAGCAGGAATCGAATCTGCATCCCTCTAGTAGGAACCGAATCTGCTTCCTCGCGACAGGAATCGAATCTGCATTGGTCTAGCAGGAATCGAATCTGCATCCCTCTAGTAGGAACCGAATCTGCATCGGTCTAGCAGGAATTGAATCTGCATCCCTCTAGTAGGGATCGAATCTGCATCGGTCTAGCAGGAATCGAATCTGCATCCCTCTAGGAGGGATCGAATCTGCATCGGTCTGCATCGGTCTAGCAGGAATCGAATCTGCATCCCTCTAGTAGGATGCGAATCTGCATCGGTCTAGGAGGAATCGAATCTGCATCCCTCTAGTAGGATTCGAATCTGCATCGGTCTAGCAGGAATCGAATCTGCATCCCTGTAGTAGGGATCGAATCTGCATCGGTCTAGCAGGAATCGAATCTGCATCCCTCTAGTAGAATGCGAATCTGCATCGGTCTAGCAGGAATCGAATCTGCATCCCTCTAGTAGGATTCTAATCTGCATCGGTCTAGCAGGAATCGAATCTGCATCCCACTAGTAGGAACCGAATCTGCATCGGTCTAGCAGGAATCGAATCTGCATCCCTCTAGTAGGATTCGAATCTGCATCGGTCTAGCAGGAATCGAATCTGCATCCCTCTAGTAGGAACCGAATCTGCATCGGTCTAGCAGGAATCGAATCTGCATCCTCTAGTAACCGATTCGAATCTGCATCGGTCTGCAGGAATCGAATCTGCATCCCTCTAGTAGGATCGAATCTGCATCGGTCTAGGAGGAATCGAATCTGCATCCCTCTAGTAGGAACCGAATCTGCATCGGTCTAGCAGGAATCGAATCTACATCCTCTAGTAGGATTCGAATCTGCATCGGTCTAGCAGGAATCGAATCTACATCCCTCTAGTAGATTCGAATCTGCATCGGTCTAGCAGGAATCGAATCTGCATCCCTCTAGTAGGATTCGAATCTGCATCGGTCTAGCAGAAATCGAATCTGCATCCTCTAGTAGGATTCGAATCTGCATCGGTCTAGCAGGAATCGAATCTGCATCCCTCTAGTAGGAACCGAATCTGCATCCTCGCGACAGGAATCGAATCTGCATCCCTCTAGTAGGGATCGAATCTGCATTGGTCTAGCAGGAATCGAATCTGCATCCCTCTAGTAGGGATCGAATCTGTATTGGTCTAGCAGGAATCGAATCTGCATCCCTCTAGTAGGGATCGAATCTCTGTATCCCTCTGTAGGAACCGAATCTGCATCGGTTCAGCAGCAATCGAATCATCCCTCGGTCTAGCAGGAATCGAATCTGCATCCCTCTAGTAGGATGCGAATCTGCATCGGTCTAGCAGGAATCGAATCTGCATCCCTCTAGTAGGAACCGAATCTGCATCGGTTTAGCAGCAATCGAATCTGCATCCCTCTAGTAGGAACCGAATCTGCATCGGTCTAGCAGCAATCGAATCTGCATCCCTCTAGTAGGAACCGAATCTGCATCGGTCTAGCAGCAATCGAATCTGCATCCCTCTAGTAGGAACCGAATCTGCATCGGTTTAGCAGCAATCGAATCTGCATCCCTCTAGTAGAACCGAATCTGCATCGGTCTAGCAGGAATCGAATCTGCATCCCCTCTAGTAAGAACCGAATCTGCATTGGTCTAGCAGCAATCGAATCTGCATCCCCTCTAGTAGGAACCGAATCTGCATCGGTCTAGCAGGAATCGAATCTGCATCCCTCTAGTAGGATGCGAATCTGCATCAGTCTAGCAGGAATCGAATCTGCATCCCTCTAGTAGGGAACCGAATCTGCATCGGTTTAGCAGCAATCGAATCTGCATCGGTCTAGCAGCAATCGAATCTGAATCCCTCTAGTAGGAACCGAATCTGCATCGGTTTAGCAGCAATCGAATCTGCATCCCTCTAGTAGGAACCGAATCTGCATCCCTCTAGTAGGAACCGAATCTGCATCTGTTTAGCAGCAATCGAATCTGCATCGGTCTAGCAGCAATCGAATCTGCATCCCTCTAGTAAGAACCGAATCTGCATCGGTATTGCAGCAATCGAATCTGCATCCCTCTAGTAGGAACCGAATCTGCATCGGTTTAGCAGCAATCGAATCTGCATCGGTCTAGCAGCAATCGAATCTGCATCCCTCTAGTAGGAACCGAATCTGCATCGGTTTAGCAGCAATCGAATCTGCATCCCTCTAGTAGGAACCGAATCTGCATCGGTTTAGGTCAGCAATCGAATCTGCATCCCTCTAGTCGAATCTGGAGCAATCGAATCTGCATCCCTCTAGTAGGATCCGAATCTGCATTGGTTTAGCAGCAATCGAATCTGCATCCCTCTAGTAGGAACCGAATCTGCATCCCTCTAGTAGGAACCGAATCTGCATCGGTTTAGCAGCAATCGAATCTGCATCGGTCTAGCAGCAATCGAATCTGCATCGGTCTAGCAGCAATCGAATCTGCATCCCTCTAGTAGGAACCGAATCTGCATCGGTTTAGCAGCAATCGAATCTGCATCGGTCTAGCATCTGCACCGAATCTGCATCCTCTAGTAGGAACCGAATCTGCATCGGTTTAGCAGCAATCGAATCTGCATCGGTCTAGCAGCAATCGAATCTGCATCCCTCTAGTAGCAACCGAATCTGCATTAGTCTAGCAGCAATCGAATCTGCATCCCTGCAGCTTGAAGGAGGTCATTCTTAAGTCTCTGGAA